GTGCCAGCTAAGAAAGGAGTGGGGTTGCATGGGAATAGTTTTGGAGGGAACTCAGAGCCCCATTAATCAGTGCATCAACCCACAGATGGGCTGCACTAGTCTGGGTCTAAACACTGAGCTGGGAATAACTGTGGGAACTGTGTGTCCAGACACTGAGTCAGACAAAGAGCTCCAGCCAGGACTTCCATGGCAGTGTCCTGGGAGAAGGACTGCTGGATCCACATATTCCACATCAATTGATGCTCCAAGGGCTGGAAACCTTGTGCTAAGGCTGGGAGAGCTGGGGGTGTCCAGTCTGGACAAGAGAAGGCTCCAGGGAGACCTGAGAGCCCCTTCCAGGGCCTAAAGGGGCTCCAGGAGAGCTGGAGAGGGACTGGGGACAAGGAATAGAGGGACAGGACACAGGGAATGGTTTCCCACTGCCAGAGGGCAGGGTGAGATGGGATCTTGGGAAGGAATTCCTGGCTGGGAGGGCGGGGAGGCCCTGGCACAGGTTGCCCAGAGAAGCTGTGGCTGCCCCTGGATCCCTGGAAGTGTCCAAGGCCAGGTTGGAGCAACCTGGGCTGGTGGAAGGTGCCCCTGCCCATGGAACGAGATGATCATTAAGGTCCCTTCCAACCCAAACCATCCTGTGACTCCATGATCAGATGGAGCATTTTTACACTGCAGGAGGTGTGGGGGACAAGCAGCAAAACCAACTCACTGTTTTCACGTCGTTGGTTCCGATGATTCCCCCGATCTCCCCCAGGTCCTTCAGCAGCAGGTTCAGGATTTCTGTCGCCCTCTTCTTCTGGTGGTTACTGAGCTCCTGCAGCTGGCCCAGCTCCCTCTGGGTCGCTGTCAGGGCACTCTGAGAAGGTTTAAAAAGAAGAGTTACCCTCCTCTCCCACCAATTCTCACGTGGCATTTGGGTTACGTGGTGTTGTCTGGTATTTTCCTGAACGTGCCCGTGGCACAACGTGCTGACACGTCCCCTTCCACCTTGACATAATCCACTTTCACAACTCACTTGCTACCAAGGCTACTTTACATGTATTAAATGTAGCAAATCCGGTAAGAATCTTATTTGCATAATACATCAGAGAAGGTTAATCACCGAGAAATAGGTATAGAAGGATATAAAATTCAATTTTTTCGAATGGATTTCATACTAATCTGTTCTACTGAAGTAGATAACAAAGTCTTTAATGAAATATATCTGTTAACAAGAGCTTCATCACTTTGTGTAATGAATTAAGGGAAAAGGATGCATTAAGCTAATAAACCAATCTTGATTTCCCTCCGATTTTTTCCTTAAGATCAGCCAAAAAAGCTGATTTATTTTTTCTGATCCCTTCCTTGAGATGCCCTGACTCTCAGTACAGAGTCCAGAAAAACCCAAAATGCTTCCATTTGCATAAAGCAGA